ATAATGCATTTTTTCACAAAAATTTCTATTTCTTATTAATTTAAAATTTACTAAGATTTTTAATAACATTATATAAATAATTTACAAAATTAAATAATTTGTTTTTACTTCCTTTCTTTTATGGAATTTTATACAAAATTTTAGATTAAATAAGAAATATTGATATATTATATGTAATTAATACTTATAACCTATTGTATTTGTATTTATTCTGTTAACCTATATTGTTTACACTTATAATACTTTCACTTGTGAAATATATTTCATACTTATATTTCATTTGTATGTATACATAACAAAAAAATTATAAGATAAATATGTAAATAAAAAATGTAGATGTTATGGAAAATTCAAACTTGGAAATTTGTATTTAATTAGTATGTAGTTCGTATAATTATATAAGATCAGATATTTATTATTTGAATCCACTTATAACAAAAAATTATTAGATTAAACTTATTTGTTTTCAATTTAATCTAATGTTGATAATATAATAATCCGATATATATAATTTTTTATAGATAAGGATTTTTTATAGATAAAAAAGATACTATGGAAATTTTATTTTTTTAAAAGAATGATTTTTATTGATCTTTTATTCACATTTTGATAGAACATTTCAAGATAGACAAGAATAAAATAATATATATTATTCAGAATCAATTATGATAGAAAAGAATCCAATTAAATATTTTTATCTTATTTATCACTTTTGTAATATAGATTTATATCTTGTTAAATAATTGTTTATGTTGATTTTTTTTATTTTTATTTTTTTTATAAAAATATGAACATGCATACAAATATTAATGTATTTTAGAAGTCAAAATGAAAGAATCAGTTGATATATAAATTTTAAGTTTGTAAAACGAGTTTGTGAAACGAAATGAAGTAAATTAGTTCTATTTCTATCTATTGTATCTGTTTTTTTCATCTAATGCAAACTTAAATTGCTTGTAAGCTAATTAAAGTTCATTCAATATTTTTGTAAATTAATTTTTGTGTTTATTTTGGCTTTTAACATTCTGTAAAAATTATTATAAATAATAATTTATCACTGCAGAAATAAACAAGATCAAATATTATTAAACAAATATAAATATATATAAAATTTGTTTTATTTTTAGATCTTTAGATATTTAGATCAATTTCTGAAAAGTTTAATTGAATTCTAATTATTATATTAATTATATAATCATTATAAATAAAGATTTTTAATATCGAAAATTTAATAAACATATTGTATTAATATTAATGAAATTTGAACGAATCTTTATATATTATATATATATTATGTATTTAAAAAAATAATTTTATATAAAGAATACGAATTTATTAAAAATGTTATAACATTCTATATATGTTATATTATGTTCTATAAATGTTATATTATATATAAAATAGAAAGTATGCTTATNAATTTTAAAATTAAATTCTCTATGAACATGTTTCGATAGCATATTGGCACTATTCTTGAATTCTTAAAATCTGCAAGAGTTTTGGGAAAAACTAAATTTACTAGGGTAATTTATCGGTAGCCTTTGCTTGGCACCTGCAAACTCGTACTGCAGTTCTTGAAGATTGCCGAATCACTGCAGAAATGCCATTTCTTGCCTCTCTTTCCTAACAGAATAAATTGTATATACATATAAAACGCGTATTTCACTTTAACAACAATGCTTTAATTGATTTAT